GAAACCGCTTGATTGACACAAAAGGCAAGCAATAATTAGGCACTTCCTGTGCAGCGCGTACCTACCCTTTCCGTATGATTCTCCACTTCTAAACTTGTTTTGAGGACTGGTAAAAGTGTTTCTCATCTCGTAAATTTGTTTCGTCGCATGTATATTTATTTTGGAACTTGTAAATTTGTTTCCGCGCTTGTAAATTTGTTTGGGCACTTGTAAGTGTGTTCGTTTTTCCTTAGCTTTGTTAATTTGTCTTGACTTTTGTAATTTTGTTTTCTGAAAAGTTAATTTGATTTGCCCTTATCGGCCACCGTATGAAATGCTCAACAAAGGTTGCAAAGAAACCCTGTCGACATTCGCTTGCACTTGATGAGAACCCTCAGTGCCAGGATGTGGTCAATGGTAGACTTCTGAGGCATAAAACCAGACTGCTCCGGTTGCTGGTGGGCAAGTAAGTGATCATGGATCCTCTTGAGGATGACCCTAGCAAGGACCTTGCCCAAAACTGAGAGCAGTGTTATCTTTCTGTAATTGCTACAGTAATGCTTTATATGAGAGGGCAAAAATACTTAGTAGTAACTCAGGTACTACTACTGCAATCCAGGCAATAATCTTTCCCATTCCAGACAGGAACAGCAAGGCCCCATTTTCCAGTGGGTTAGGATGACACCTGTCTCCCAAATGGATACAAATGTTCCTTTCTAACACCACGAAGATTACAGCCAGCCGTACACCAGCCTGGAGAACTCTACTTTGGATACCACAGATCCTTGCAACTTTCTTTACCCCCAGCTGGAGAAGTCCAACATCCTAGCTGGAAGATCCGTCTTCAACAGCTGCTTAAATTAACTTGCCCAGTGGGTCACAGCAGCAGTGTCATCCATAAGAGCCATTCCATCAACTGCCCTGACTATGACTCTCCAAGAAACAGATTTGAATGTGTGCAGTGCTTCAATTCCTCTGTAAGCAGGATGAGGGTCACTAGACCGCAGATGGTGTGTCACTTGCTCACAGATTCCTCTAACAAACGCCTCCTAATCCCGGTCCAGACTAGAGTTTCCATAAAGCTATGTGCCGCGAAACACCTCAATAATATACAGGTTGCCCTGCAAGATGAAGCACATCCTTCTGGAAACACCAGCAACATCAACACTACCCTCAGTAACCTTCAGGGTCTTATCACGGAAGGTCTCACACATCACATTATGATCAGCAGTCGCACCCAGGTTTTCACACAAACCGCATAAAAACTCATTAGAAATAGCCTGATCTTGGAGTCTGGCTAAGTCCAGCCTCATTCTCCTTGCAGGTTGTATCCGACTGGACCTAAGCTGAATCTTCAGAGTAGCAAAAACAAGTCTGTGTCAGAATTCAGAACCTGGTCACTTCTGTAGATCCTGCAGTTCTGTAAGAGCCTCCAGCACCTGCCCATGAGGATGTGATCAATCTCAGCATCACCAGTTCTGGAGTACCAAGTCGACGATGCGGCTCAATGCATTGGAACCAGGATCCAGTGATCCGCAGACCCTGACTTGACCCTGGAGTCAACGAACACGGAGCCACTTCCACCACAGTCAACGGACCGGTGGAGACTGATGCAGTCGTCATAGCCAGCCCTGTCAGTGCCGGTGGTCACACTGAAGTTACCCATGACCAAAGGAGTGTCACCTTGTGGGCACCCATTAATCACAGAGTGAAGGTGCAACAGACAAAACACCCAGAGAGAGCCTTAATCTGAGTCTCATAGTAAGCCTGTTGAAAGGAGTGACATGGGATACCATCAGAGTAAGGCAGACATCAGAGAGAACAAACCGATAATAGATGTACCCACCTCCAGAAATCTGGCCACTCCCTGGTCTGCGTACCTCAGAGAGCATCTACCCGGATGGGCCCTCTAATTAGGACCCGAGTGCTGTTGTGCAACAGGCGATCACACCAGTTCTAATCATCAACAGGTCTGGCCCCACTGGTTCCAGTGCTCGCTCCACCGGCCGCTGTTCCGTCGGTAGCAAGTCCCAGGTCCAGAGGAAACCACCTCCGCCAGAAGTGTCTCCAGTGCCTTTCCCGCCAGACAGCTCTCCAGCATCTGCCCCGCCAGATGCCTCTTCCCTGTCTCAGGTTCCCGATTGAGAGTGGGCCATTTTGCCTGTGTCTCAGGTTCCTGGCCCAGAGAGGGCCACTTCACCTACATGCTGCAGCTCCAGCACCTGGCCCAGAGGAGCCGGCATCTCCAGTGCCTGGTCCAGAGAAGCTTTGCCAGTGCTTGTGCTTCCAGAAGCTCATCGGCACCTATCTCACCTTTGTTATCTATGTATATATGTGTTTGTCCTTGCCAGCTTCCTTAGATTCATCATTGTTGTGTGTCACTGTGTTTATGTTTGTTTCATGCCTATACCTGCATTAATAAAACTTCTTTTGATGAAAACCAACACCAATGTGTGAATCATCGCTTCTTCCTGGTATCTGGATATAACACAAACCCCCAAATTTTTCCCTGCAAGTTGACGGACCACTTGCAGGGCCAGATATAGCTTAACGTCATATCCAGGACATTTAAAGCGAAATATTTTAGTTTTATATATAGTGCTTGTGTAAACAATGATACAAACCACAGGTACTATGACAGTGATGGAAATTAATTGAATTAATAAAGATTGTTTAAAACATAAATATCCATAAGTACAGCGATGTTCTCAAAATGGAGTAAATAACTATAATATTATAAAATAGTAAATAGGCACAAAAATTGTCATCATGTTATGTTTAATTAGGACAGTGATTCATCTTTCTTAGTAATTAACTTTCCGGTTAATCTGTCACATGTCGCTTAGGTATAGATGAAATATCGAAATGATTAAGCCCTTTATTCTTAGAGTTAGTTGATATCTAATTACACGGCAAAATAATTATTTTGGAAGTTTTCACAAGAAGATGGAACTCTGTTAATGGAAGCGGAGTTTAAATTTACATTGCATTTTTTCCTTCATGAATACTGTGATCAACCAGTACTGGGTAAGACTGAGACATCATGCAGGAATGCCACACTATGGACAATTTATTATTATTATTGATAATGATAATAATAGTATTAATAATACACGTGGAGTCTTCAGCCGAGGTCCTTCACCACTGGGAAATCCAGAGTAGCAGAGATCCAGCCTCTCACTGCGTGGTTTGGTTCCGGATAACATACTATGACTGGAGGTCAGTTTCCTGCTGTACATCTTTCTGATGCCCATATCCACTTAGGGCTCCTGCACTGCCATAGAAATTATGTTCCTAAGGGTAGTGCCAAGGTATAATTCGTCTGGTCCTCTTGGTCATGGCCAGATTTTTATAGCTATTTAATTGCCGTTGTGTAAATTTAACAGGGGAGCTCTGATATGGGAGGCAGGGATCCCGGGAAGCTTGTGTAATCATCTGCCCCCTGCTGTGAGTAGTAGGGTTAGATCCCTGTAGCCACGTGCTCACCAGCTGTCCAAAATACTGTCCTGAAGGTCTGACAGGTGGCCAGTGTCCAGGGTGTCACACAGGGGGTACAGCCACCAGTTGGAGTGACAAGTATTGGTCGGTTGCAGAGGTGTAACTATTTATGAAAAAATAAATGCTACTCTATAGGCATTGTCACTTGTTAAAGAAAAAATGTGATCTCTGCAGATGAGATATGCCACTCTGCAAGTAGTGGCCACTTTACTGGGTAAACCCAGATAGTAATGGATAGGATCTACAGTATTTTCACCTCCAGAGCCATTTGAAGGGTATACAAGTCGTACTGTATATTCAAAGTAACCATTCTGCACTCCACCATTGGACTGAGCTGTTATTTTTGGCCCTCCAGTTAGCATTAATGACTCCAGCAATTCTCCTCTGAACTCTCTCATTAACAAGATATTTTCAGCTACAGAATTGCCACCAAGTACATGTTTCTTGTTTATCACACCATTCCCTCTAAAGAGAAGACACTATAGTGTGTGAAAATCAGAGGATCATGCCTGTTTCTGAGATGGTGGAACCACCTCGTATTGCCCAAAAAGTTATACAGTACCCTGATGAAAATTGCTTAGATCACGGCTGCTCTGGGTTCATCTCTGGACCTAGGTCCACCACCAACAGATAGACGTCCTGGTAGAGTGGTTCGACCGAACCCTCAAACGTATGCTCCGGAGGGTGGTAGACAAGGAAGGGTGCAACTGGAACCTCATGATCTCTTGGATGTGGCCTGAGAGGTGTAGGAATCCCAACAATTCACCTTCTGGTTCATGATCATACACCTCCTTGTTGAGGTCCAAATCTCTCCTTCNCCACCACCAACAGATAGACGTCCTGGTAGAGTGGTTCGACCGAACCCTCAAACGTATGCTCCGGAGGGTGGTAGACAAGGAAGGGTGCAACTGGAACCTCATGATCTCTCTCTCTCTTAGACCCTTGTGGGCTCTTGGATGTGGCCTGAGAGGTGTAGGAATCCCAACAATTCACCTTCTGGTTCATGATCATACACCTCCTTGTTGAGGTCCAAATCTCTCCTTCTGAGGTCAAAATATCTCTAAATCTTAGAAAGTCTTACTTTCATGACATGGGAACTATAGACAATTTTGCCATGAGTCAGGCCATGTTTAGCACAGATTGATGACTTGGGCACCCTCTCAAGGAACCCAGCCAGAGATTCTCAGGCATTTTCATCCCCAATTCTGCTTCTCAGAGACGTATCAAAAAAATCTGCATGTAAATACTGTATGAGTTGGGGCTGGTTTAAGGTGGAGGAGTGCCCACCCAGAGATAAGCTTTGTCCACCCAGATGAATTATCTGCCCATCCAATAAAAAAATCACCATTATAGCTATTTGTTTGAACGTTCATAATTTTTTGTAATTTTGTCATTGGTCATTTAAAAATGCACTGCTTTCCTGTTGGCCATTTTGAATGTGTGGGGGTGCTTAGTTATTGCTCCACCTTCACATCATCACCCAACCATGACACTTCTGCACACATCCGGTACAGACATGGTTAAGTGAACGGCAAAACCAGTTTGTAGCTAGCTGTACTCAGCAATCAAACTGAAACCGTTAACATCTTTGATTATTATTCATTGTTTTCTCTGGTTCTTAGAAAATACTAGTAGTCTCGTATAGTTTCACAGCTGAGTTTGAAAATTTTGCAAAATGTTTGTTATTCCCCACCCAAATAATCCAAATGCCCACCCAAAGATGACATCCCAGAAACACCGCTGGTTTAAGAAATGATTCCAGTAATGTTTTATTCGGGAAGTTGTAAAATTGTGTTTCATGTGAAGCTACGAATTTGTAAATGCCAGAAGAAATTATGTTGAGGAAGCACAAAGACTTCAGATACACATACTGTATATACATATATATGGGACACACCTCTTAATAATTGAATTCTGCTGCTTCGTTTGGACACAGTTCCTTAGGTATATAAAATCGAGCACCTAGCCATGCAGTCAGGTTTACAAACATTTGCAAAACAATGGGTCATTCTGGAGAGCACCTTTTGAATGAACTACGTATAAACTCTTGTCTACTCAGTAACTCATCACTTGAAAAGCTGCTCAGAATATCAAGTCAGGGCAGGACGAAGTATTTGTCTGGCAGATTTATTTATAGAGGTAACTTTCATTTTGTCTTACCTTTGGGGAAAAACTATCAAACCGTGGGATGGATCCCAAGCAGATGCTTCGCTTCACTCAGATGGTGATTAACTAAGCCAGCTTCACTCAGATGGTGATTAACTAAGCCAGATCATATTAGAGACCACCCTCAAGAAGAGGAACACATGGCAAAAATGTGTGGAATTGTTCCAGAGATATTTTTGTTTGTTTTGGAGTTTTCCCCCATAAAATAATAAAATATAAAGTTCATGTCAACTGGGGTCTTGAGCAGAAACCTAGATGCTGTGCAGCTTGTTGTTGTTTTTACATGGAAGCACTGGTCTAATGTATCTGCCTATTGACATAAAAGCATCCACCAGACGTCTGCAAACTAAAAGAAGAATCACAGCTTCAACCTTGAAAGTTAATTATACAGAAAACCCATGTATAGAAAATTCACAAACATGGCATAATCTAGAAACTTTAATTAGGGCAAAACAATACAACCGAACTATTTATTAATATTGACCACATAGGTCTGGCAATATTTGATGGGTAAAACAGGCTTAATGCAGATTTTATAAACGGACACATTTTTTTTTTTTGCCACGCATGCCGGTGTTCTTTTGGTAATACAGACATGTTTTTTATGTTTTCTCAAAAAATATTTCCATACACTGTTTATGGGCAGATTTTAATAATTCAAGTTACAAATGCATGAAATACTGTACATAGTTCTACACCTTAAAGGTATGTTACAATCTCCCGATTCCCGCTGCGCCGCTCTTCCGCGCAGGTGTGTTTACGTCATCTCGAGTTTGGTGGATGTGGGGAATAGCATAGCCGCGGGAAAAGTTGAACGGTGGGTTTATTTTTAAAGTTCCAGGAGCATACGCTTATAGATGACGTAGATCACATTTTTCGTCACAAACTCGTTTTCGAATTTTTGTTTTTGACTGGTCAGAAGTGTTTCGTTTTCCCGTTGCAAAATTACCGATAAATTACTTCTCAAAGGCATCGCTTCAAAATCATTAGAGGTAAGTAGATTTTTAATAAAATCCTATAGATTTGATATATCATTTATTCAACCATGTCTGTGTGAAATTTCGTGACAATTCTTAGTGTCGAAGTCAATGATTTTGCTTGCGAACGAAAGCATTCCCAACTGAGCGGTCACGGCAATGAGGTGCCCCAGATTTTATTCATGAGGTCACGTGACTGCTATACTGCAACCTGATTCGTCAAGCGCGTTTGTTTACATTGTTGATGACCAAGTGTGTTTGTTATGAGAGATCTTTCACTGATATTTTGTGCATTCCTGCAGAGCTTTTTTTCACTAAAACAGCTTATAAAACAAATTGATAAATTTTTTTGAAGATCACATAATTTATTCAATTTCTTTAAATTTCTCTTCAACTTAAGATCACAGCCTTTGTTTACTCATTAGTGTAAAATACATTAAGAACAAAAAGAAAAAATGACCACTTATTCCTGCCACTATAATTGCTTTAACATCCTTATTTCTCAAGATATTTAAATGATTTTGGTGTCATTCTGTTTGTTATCTTGTTCTCTATCAAATTCAGTTAGATCTTCTGTTATATGGGGAGTTTGGATTTTTTCGTAACATACCTACAGTACACCTTTTACTGCTTGCATCCGTAATGAATGCTAGTATCGCTGCGACATTATAATGGCTCTCCCATTCATCCCCTCATTCACCGACTCATTCAGAATGAGAACTGGAGACCCAAAGGAATGGCTGAATTAGTGAGTGAATAGATGAACGAGAGAGTTTCCAGTGAAGCTTATGCTTGCTTAAAGCACGCCCTTACATGCCTCACTGGATCTCACTGGCCATACCAGAGGAGGGAAGCAGCTTTCAAATCACATTTCTGAGGACAAGCGGAGGAACGGAAAGCTCAAATTGTGAAGTGAACGTCAGTGCAGAGTTCCAGTGAGGGACTGTGAGTTCCCTGCAAATGAGTCCTTTGCAAACGTCACACCATTAGCTTCTGCAACTAAGGTACAGATCAGTGCGTCTCAATCATAGACCTCAGTGCTTCTCACTCCCATAATTGGCAACCTCGGAAAAAATCGGAAATTATACTTACTCCTGCCAGATCCATAATGTGCTGCAGCATAGAAAAGCTTTTGGGAAAGGTATCTGTTATGTGATGTTGTAGCAGCACGATGCCTGTTTTTACTTTTGCCCTAGAGCAGGTCCTTCAATATGGTCAGTCAGAACTACAGGTGAGAGAAATTCGTAATGCAGCATTTCCTTACAGTTTGTATGTTTCTTTAGGGTTGTTTCAGAAAATGTTACCACATGACAGACTGTAGCACAAACCAAACGTTTGCTATGGAGGTTCTTCCCCTAGAGGGAGTCTGAAAACCCCCTGCAGTGGCCCCAAGTGAATGGTCAGAATTGAGCTGAATGTCAAACCTCCAAGCAGTTGAGCTGCATTTGCCTTGTATTTAGTGAGATTGTGTGTCTGCGATTTCTCTCAGATTATGTATGAAATTGAAATTCAAAAGAGGCTGCATCACAAGCACCTTGTGAAGTTCTCACACTGCTTGGAGACTCATGTACATATTTATGGAGCTGTGCAGTAGGGAGGCAAGCCCCAGAGTACTTGGCCTTTGCAGACTGCTTACGAAGGCAAAGATTTTATGAGTTAAGCTGCCCTTTCACCCCTCCCCCCCATTTCCAGTCTCTGCAGCGCATCGTGGAGGCTCACAAAAAATTGACCTGCCCCAAAGTGCAGTATTACTTTTAAAAGCTCATATCAGGGTAAAAGCACATGCACAAGAAAGGAATCCTCCACACATACTTCAAATTGGGCATGTGTGCATGCGCTTTTGCTTGGTTAAGTGCTCTGTATATTAATGTGGCTGCTTTACTGTATCAGCGCATGCTCCTTACCTCTCCTCTTTACAGTGCTTTAGCAGCACAAGTAATTCATATGGATTTCTGTGCCCTGGCAACAGCACACACAATTAACATCTGCTTTAAGCAAATATTTGAATATACAGCTGATGGAAAGTCATTGGTCTTTCAGAAAATTTGCTGTTGGATGAAAACATGTTGAAAGTGGGGGATTTTGGATTGGCAGTAAAGCTGGATCCAATGGGGGGAAATAGCTGGTGTAAGTAGGTGCTTCATTCAGATTCTCCTGCAAAGCTACCAAGTCACTTACACGGCAAGCTAAAGCAGATGTGAGTTTCTTTACATTTTCCTTTTGTGTACATTAAAGAAGCTTCTGTGGAACCCCAAACTACATTACTCCATATGTTCGGGACAGAAAAGAGAATGGACCAGAGTCAGACGTTTGGACAGTGGGTTCTGTGATGCATGTTTCTCTGCTTGACGATTCCCCTGGCAATGGATGTCATGCTCATGCTTGATACTCTGAAATTTTCACCAGTACAACATTTTCTTCCAAACGTATAGGGAAATGCAAATACCTTTGCTGTTTCTCTCAACCCGGGTAGGAAATATTCATCGGAAGATCACCCTCTTGGGGCTGGGATGTGCAGAAGATCTACTGGCATGTTACAGAATGAAGTACACCCTGCCAAAGAGCCTATCTGCAGCAGTCCAGAAGCTAATTCCTGGGATCTTGCAGAAGAATCCATACGATCGCTTCATTTCAGGAGAGATCCTGCAACATGAGTTCCTCACTAAGGTTAGCACACTTGCAAGTTATTGTGCTGTGGATGACTTGGAATGATTATTCTGAGGTCACTGGTATTTATGCCTCCTAACAGATTAATTTTCCTTAGCTGAAACATTCCCAGCCGCTGCCATCGGACTTCACACCTAATAAACTGCCACCAGCTGTGTGATGGTGCTACACTTCAAGCTTTCAAACTCCAAAAAAGATCCAAAAATGATCCCCTTCAACACAAACCCCAAGCAATCCTGCATCTCTCAGCTCATCTGGCTTAGATGCTTGACCTGGCATTTCCATAGTTTCTTGCAGTTGATAAGCCTTTATGTGGGGAGCTACACATAGTTCGGGAGGTCAGTAGAAAGCCCCTGAGCTCTCAGTCAGAGGAGTCAGTGGAAGTCCCTTCTCTCAGTGTTTAGCTGAATGCAAACAATCCACTGACCGTCCAAGCAGAGGAGAAGTCAAGGAAATTAAGTGAAGTCATTATTAATCAGGTTACCGATAGACCATTGATCACCTGGGAACTGGACAGGGCAAGGAAGTCTAGTTCACCCTGTGTTTGCTGGGTCAACAACTGCAAAGCTACCATCTGGGTGGCAGAGGATGGATCAAAATGTGCTGTTGGTGACCCAACAAACTCGTGATGAACTGGATTTCCTTGACCGACGCTCTGTCCAGGTCAGTGTGTTTGTTGGGTGACTAATGACCAGAGTATGAGTCATAGAAGTCCCGTCCCTTTGGAAGCACCATGCTGTGTAGTGCTTAAGGTGAGCCTATTGCTTACATTGTATAGCTTTCGCAAGGATGTAGTGAAAGTTAATGTAGTCCACTTTGGACTTTGGTGAGCCACGTACTTGATTAAATGGGACCTATGTGCATTTGCTGTGACATCTGACAGTGTAGACTGGCTGTGCTGATCTACTGGGGGCCACATCAGCGAACGCCTGAGTGCCCCCCCCCCCAGCTCCTTGTTTTCCACACAGGAGCATTTTTTCCCCTTTCTAAATAAAGGTCACGTGTTGCAAGCACTGAAGTTCACTGACTAATGGCATCAAGGGACATCGCAATTTGTGCAACCATTCAGTTTTAATTTCTGCAATAAAATCTTTTAAGTTTCAGTTAACTTGATTTTGAGTATAAGTACCAAAAAATAGTTGGTTGTGTGTTTTGTGAATGCCTGTGATCTCGAGCTAAATTGGAGCAAGCTGACGAATGGATGTGTTATGATGTCATCTGCAGGATAGTATAGCTAGCTGATGATAGCTTGACTTTGTTTCAAGGCATGGTTTGTTAGTCCATTTAGAGTACGTTAGGGCCTTCGGTGTGAGTAAATTATTTTGGACTGGATATTTTTTATTAGTCTAGTCACATCCTTCTTGTATGTAGCAAAGTGCTTTAGGGATGATTTGTAATATCTTCAGTGAGCAGGCTGAATGTTAATAAACCCCTGGATCATTGACCCTTCTAATGACCTTCTCCCTGAGCCCCACAACCAGCTCATAACCCAGATTCCTTCCATTCCATAATAAGGTTATATTATGCACTGTCATTATTATGAGGACAATAGTTTATGTTGCCCGTTCAAATTGGATCCTAAGGGAAAGTTCCCTCCTGTCTTCACGAGTAAGACTTACATTATGGTAATGCTGCCAAATTAGCTGCTGCCATGATTTGTAATACAAAAACCAACCTCCACCTGGAATTTGAACCTCATTATTATAAATGTTAATACTTATTAATGGAAAATAGGCAACATCCATCCATCCATTGATTTTATATAAAAAAAAAAAGTGTTCAGTACTGGTCCCATGTTCATTCATAATCATGACAGTTCATGTATTTCATGGGGAAACCTATATTAATTCATGCTTTGTTCTTGAGCAGTAAATGAGTTAAGTAATTTTTGCCCCCTCAAATGGTCTTACCATTATTATCTAATTAGTTAACTGTTAACTAATGCAGTGCCTGAATGGAATACATGAACTGTTATGATTGATTAATGCTGAACAAGCAAGGGATCAATACGTAACTTACTGGTTACTAGTTACTGGTTAATTAATGCATTAAGTAATCCTGTACTCCTACATTATTCATGTCCTTTCAAGTAAAGTGTGAGCAGAAAATATTTCTGCACTTTTTAAGCACTAAGTGTTACATCTTACTGTTATACTTCTATAATTCACAGGGAAATCTGAAGCTCGGTAATCATCATATTATTACAGATAAGATGTCTTGAGCATGCAAATTTAAAAATAATTTTAATGAAATTTTGTCAACTTCAGACCCGGTGAAATTGCATTTAGATGGATGCTTCGACCAATTACAGTTGCAACGATCCAGAGCTTACTTGATGAGCCACAGGGTGCAAGATAGGTGCATAATGTTTGAACCCTCTGACCATTTGTGGCCTTCAATAAGGTTTCATGGTGTTATAGTCATGTGTGAAATGGTGTGCTTTATGTAGACCAAATTATACAATAAATGTAAGACAAGTGCAACAGTTTACAATAAAGAACCACTACAGGCGCTACTCCACTTATGATGGGGTTACGTTCTGACAAGTCCATTATGAGTAGAAAATATCATGTCAAACATGACTATGATACGATAAGTAAAAAAAAAAACTATTGTCACTGAATAGTAAATAAAAAAAAATTAGCAGCAACTAAATACAGTAAGTGACATGAAAATAACACAGAAAAAAATACTATATGATAAGTTGTTAAAAACTGTATGAAATGTTTATGCTTGCAATCACTACAGAGACTGGAAGCATGTCTGCGTGGATTTGGCCGATGCCCAGCATCACTAGAAAGTATCGCACTGCGTATCACTAGCCCAGGAATAGATAACAATTCAACAATGACTATGGATTGTATATCGTTATCTTGACATTAAAACATCGATATATCGTAAGCTCATCTGTGGTAAAGTGAAGATCATCTGTATGTAAAATATGACAAAATACATCACCACCTTCGACAAATGAACACAGCATATTTGTGTGTGACAGATACACTGGAGGTAGAATATGGGGTAAAATCTTTTGTTGAGACTACAGACTAATTGCCTGCAGATTAACAATGTCCCTGAGTATTTTGAGTGTGCTTCTCATCCTACTGTCTGCCAGAAGGGAGGCTGGAAAAATAGTTACTGGCGTTCCATATGATCTAGTTTGAGTTATCAAGTGATCACATATGCCTAACAATAAACCTTCCACCGTGATACTGTGGGATCTGTGCTATCCAGGAGCGTCACTGCTTGGTATGGCAGCTGTAGCTCCAAGGACCACAGAACCCTGTGGAGTGAAATATGGTGCGCCCAGCAAATCACCAGGACAAAATTGCCCACCCTGCAGGACATGTACATCAGACTATGTAGGTCCAAGGCATGTAGTATTATGAAATACACCACCCAGGCCATACACTGTTTCAGTGACTGCACTCAGGTAGACGCCTCCGGAGTCTGAGGGCGAGAACTGGCAGACTGAGGAGAATAGTCCTCCTTGAATAGTCTTACTAGGTTCTCACTTTGTTAATAGTTCTAAGTGTTTTTGTGTAGCTGTCATGTAGTTACTGCTCCAAAACTGCTTACTCCTGGGCTTTCATTAGAAGTTCAGCCTAGCTGCACATATGCCCAGTAGACTCCTTGATAGCATGGATGCTATTTGCCTCGCTTGTGCATGGCTTTGGACAGAGGCATCTGCTAAATACGTAAGCGATAAATCATGACAAGGTGTGCAGTTATACAAAAACAATCAACGGCAATTTTCACATGACCACACCCCTCGAAGTGGTTTGCCCGGCTTATACCACAGCTAACAAAAGAAATAGTGTAATAGAATTAATTAGTCACAGTTTCCAATGTGCTCTTAAAAATATAGTCCCTATACAGTAAGTATAGAACGTCTGGTCAGGCTCCTCAATGGAAGCGGCAAGTTACCGTAGAAACCATCAACAGATATGCGCTTTTGAAAACCAAGGGAAGTTATGCTAAGGATGACTGCTTATTTATGAGTAAAATGTTGCACAGGTTTTTATATTTGCATATTTTATAAAATATTTTAATGCATTAATATAGAAATGTTATTAGGCTGCCAGAACTACCTGTATGGTTACATGAAAATAATCAACATCCATGTGACATGTCTGGACCAATAAGAAAATAGTATTTAGTGGTATAAGTAAATGTGCATGCAATGTAAATGTAGCTGCACTTAGGGACCTCTATTGCCTTTCTGGTATTGGTCTGCCTTCTGTCCAGTCTTATCTTCCGGCTGCACATTCTCCCATACCCCTGTACTAGAGCCCACTCCCCTGTGTTTTATCTGGGCTAAACCACAGATTGTAAGCCCTGGTGGCAGATTAAGACCCTGAGGCTCAACTGAAGGAAACAAGCTGCCACTACAGACTAAACACCAGGTGCCTAGGGGTTGACTCCTATAGGATTTCTTTTGTGATCTAATCTGAATACTTGTAACCCCTCTGTTTATAAAATGAAGTGATGCATAATACTGCAGAAGACGATAAGCAGATACTGTAGGCATATTTACACACACACACACACACAGGTTTGTAAATATATCTTTGCGGGGACACTCCCTTCATTTCTGTGTGGAAAACTCTAATCCCAACATGAAGACCTTAAACCCTACCCAGTCCTAACCTTAACCATAAGTAACCAAACTAAATGCAAGACTTTTGGCATTTTTGTTTTTTGATTGTGTTCACAGATCTTTGCGGGGACCTGAAAAATGGTCCCCACAACATAAAAAGAACAGGTTTTTATCACATTTGATCTCAACAATGCAATATAAATCTAATCCACACACACACACCCCAAGCATTTTTTTAGTGTTTTACAGTGTATATTTTTTAATTAATATGTTCCACATTATAATATACAAAGGAAAACAGGAGAAGATCTTCTAAGTGCTGGACTCCTTAAAATAGGCACCATTTGCCTTGTCTGTCACTTTCTCTCTTAGCAGATAATTCTTGATTTTGAGTTGTTTTGGTGTTTTGGGTCATTATCTCGCTGAAGAATGAAGCCCTGATCAGTCAGCTGTAATCCTCATGCCTGTGTGCCTTTGAGTTTTGCTGTCACGGGTATGATAAAGATAACAGACTCTATCACCTCCGAAGCAACCCCAGACCATGAAATTGCCTCGTACTCACTTGATAGTCAGAAACACACATGTTGTCATCTGAAATTCTGACTCAGGTCAATAATACAGACTTTCAGTGTCAATAGGCAGTTGTACAGAATTTAAATCATATACTGTACAATGGTTTGAAGTAGGTCATATATTTTACAAGCTTGTTTGTATAATATTTAACCCGATGTGCAATTCTATTTTAGGCTCCAAAAAAAGAAGTTTTGTAACCCCATTGGCATGAAGGGGAAATTAATTAAATGTAATACAATCTGATTTGTTGTAACATTTAAAAAAGTAACACATTACCGGAGTCTCCTGTGACCAGAGATACAGTCTGTGCAGGAATAGCATTCATTAACCTTTCATTGTGTTGGTAGAACCTCACCTCTGACATTACATTTCAGTAATGACGCCGTTTAATCTGATAAATAAGGGGGCTAGATAGAAATGATACAGGTGATTATTTTTTGTAATATCAATTAAGCACATTTTTTTCTGTAAAACATTTTTGCAATGTATTTCCACACCATACTTATTTTAGTTAATACAAATCATTCTAGGAAAATACTGTAATATAGAAAACGCTGAATGTAAATATGCTGAGGTATATATTATTATCCATATTTCCATTTTTTATTACTGATTATCTAGTGCAAGGTTGAGGTGATCCCGGAGTTTATCCGGGTAACACAGGGCAGGGGGCAGAAGGCACCTTGAATCAGTCCGTCACAGGGCACACATGGCACACTAGGGGTAATTCATGCAAACATGAGAGAATATGCAAATTATACATACATGTGGCTGGAGGCAAAAATCTAATCCATAACCTTGATTCTACAGTGCTAATGAATGATGCATTTTCATAAAGCAGCGTAACAGCAGCCTCATCCTGAACATCATTAAAGCAAAGGAGATTGCTAAAGACTTCAGGAGAGACAGGATCGAGTTATACACCCCATCATCTGTGATGGCTCTCCAGTGGAAATTGCCTGCAACTCCAAGTTCTTCTGATTCTTGTGCATGATTGTCATATGTAACAGCCCGAATCTTGAATTTTCAAGACCACTCGAAGATGGTCCTGATTGTAGAATAACCTATTACAAATTAACATTTATAGTTCATTTTAAAGGAACAACATGAAACAGACACTTGTAAAAGGATATGTTCTAAATGTTCGTTTCAAGCAACAGTCAAAGTAAAGTCTAGTCAAGAGCCTAACACGGGGATTTTACGGCCTGGTTGTTGTACATAAACAGTGTTCTCAACACGCAGGTGAGTACTTGTTAGGCGTACATCAGAAGAAGTACACAGGCTTGGTGGTGCCTGTTTTCAACAGTCCTGGGTGCTGATGTGCTTTTTCTTAGAATAAATTAAAGTCCATTCAATCCCTAAGAGGGTTAGGTAAATGGCAATGAATTCAAAGGTCTTTTTAGTAATCATGTTCAAAGTATGTGAGCAAACCTCAGTGATGATGGGAGTACATTCTAATGGGGAGTGAATTGTGAATTGTTCAGTAAAAAATGACCATCCCTATCATCATATCTCATGCCTAAAAAACCATCCATGCAAGATTCTGAACTCATGCACAGTTTATTTAACAAATCTTTTTTTTTCTTCTAGTTTTGGCTTTTTAATCTAGTTTTTTTTTTGTATTGTTTTTAGTTGAAATACAATTTTGTTTTACTTAGTTTTTAGTGTGGTGGATTAGTTATTATTTAAAAGATTTATTTATATATAGTTTTTATCCATTTTAGTTTAAGTTAGTATTTTTCTTTTTAGCGATAAACCAAAAGCTGTAGGACAATTTCAAGTGTCTGATCATTAGAAAATCTTGCATGAATATACAATGTACAGTATGTACTAACATCCTCCAGATGGGCAAAACATGTTCCAGGTATTATATTAATAGTCACCTAAAAGCAATATATCCTTGAATAATTTCTATCAAGGAGAAAAAGGTAAACAAATAATTATTGTAGCTAAATGGAATTTTATATGGATATTGGAAATGTTACGTTTGTTTTTTTGTTTGTTTCAGACGCAATATTTATAGTGTTCATTTAGTTTTATTTTTTTTATTTATTTTATTTTCATATTTTAGTTTTTGGCAGTTTACAAAAATGTTCTCAGTTTTGGTTTTCTCTAACGATTATAATTCCAGTTTCAGCTGTTGGTAAATCATTTTGTACAACTGTTTACACAGTGCAGTGTTACGGTGAGTCTGGAACATACCCCAGGAAGTACAGGGCACAAAGTCTGGTTGGGGTGTCATTTGCACACCAAGGGCAGGTTAGGGATGCTAATTTTCCTAACTAAATGTGCTTGAATGCTTGAAAACACTCAGACTCTCTCTCTCATCATTGCCTTACATGATTAAGGCAATGCTTTTTCTAAAATCCCCCTCCCTTTATCTTTTCTGCTGTTTTCCAATGCACCAAATGAGCAAAAGACAAGACACACAAACTAAAAAATGCAAAAGGCACAGTGTTAAATGACAATATTTCTTTTTATTTTTTTTCTCTCTATTTGAAAGGTTTATTATTTACAAACAAAATAAAACAAAAAAATTGTTGACAAACACCGTTCGTCTGCATATTGTTTAAGAAAGAAGCATTTATCGGTCCTTACACTGTATCAAGTGTACACTGTATCAATGAGCACAAGAATAATTGTCAGCAAGTTATTAAGAAGAGTATGTGACTTATTCTGTCTGCCCCTTTTCCCACTTGGTATATAAATTAAAACATTCTACTGTAAATTTGTAAACCAAACATGCCAATTAAATCTACTGTATTCCTGTAATCCAGTTACTGTTTATTTTCTGCTGGTTCGTTTAATATCTTCATACCATGAAACTATCTGTTTTTACTGAGTTGATCATAAATAAATAACATAATGCCCTTTACAGAATGCTTGCGGTAGTCAAAGTCGTGAAAAAAATAGGGAAAACACAGGCGATACCTGAAGGCAAATGTTAAAACAGTATAGCACTGCTGTTGAATGTACTGTATGTGTATTATTTTTACACACTATGGCAATAGCATAAGATTGGTTGAAATTAAAAAATGTTTCACCTTTCAGCATGTAAGGCAAGGAATTTTTAACTATATTATATATCTCTAATAACAATCTTAAACTAAATATTGATAACAGCAGATATTTTTTAATAAGAAAGTGCAATTTTCAATAAATATATACTTTAAGTGGTTTGCTTTGGCCAGTTTCATTTCACACATTATTATATCCACTGAAGTGACTAGATACAAGTAATAAAGTGCCAAATTACTAGAATTTGTCATCTGCACGATGTTTCGTAATTTTTTGAAGTATGTCAATTCATGCAGACAAATGGAATTCTTAAACAGATTCATTCCATCTTTTACACTTACTGATATTCATTAATATCCATCGATTATAAATGATAATATATATTTGGCCATCTTTTTTGCCATCATCCTTCAAAAATACTGTTACACATATGACTGAGTGCATGCACATATGTACATATATATGCCTCACACTCATAAAAAAGAATGAAACATGGCTAAAGTTTAGGCACAAATACTTAAAATGTCCTTTGTGACAATTCAATGCTTCAGATACACACAAATAATGTCTACATATTGTCTAGGCAACAAACAAAAACATAATTTCACAATACGATTAACGTCAACATTTTAAATAGTATTTTGTAATATTTGTGACAATGCATGCTTCAACATATGAAAATGGGATTTGATTGACATGGGTTGAAATCTTCTAAATCTTTCTGTTGCTTGACACCACAAGCTGACCCTCAAATCCAGTCTGTTTATCTTATTATATTATTCCAAAGCCATTTGATTACTTGACACTGCTGAGTCTCAGGAATTAATGGAATGAATATTACTGAAAAAATGGCCAGACTTAGTTTAATTATGATTTCATAACCAAAGCTCATTTTAAAATATTGTGAAACAACAGTTGCTTACAGAAAAGAAAGTTTGCCGAAAAATTGCATGAATATATACTGTTTATCAAAATTGGTTGTCATAATCAAGGTTCTAATTTGTTCAGGTGTACTGAATGGACAAACTGGTGCCATTCTTTGGTATGGATTTCATTAATTTGATTCAAAACATGGAAAACACAAACTAGAATGAAACAGTAACTAGTCAGCTTGGTGTCATTATACTGTATGATAGATACACAGATAGAAGAGATAAACCTTAATACAGACCAGCTCCTTTTATTAAGCAGACTTGTCTTTTCATTGTTTCAAGTAAATTATTGGTAAATGTTGGTCTTTAAAAAAAATAGCTAATCTTTTATTTCTTTTTTATTTATACAATTGTACACAATTGTGATGGTCCATTCAGTATTCAGCAGATGTTTCTGTTTCCAGTGAAAAGGCTGTTGAGCTATCAAGATAATTCACTCAGATGTTGTATGTAACTTCGGTCTGAACACATTTCTAATATCACTGAAACTATTGGACCAAATTAGCCTAATTTATGGTGCATTGAGTGAAGATGCTTTTCTGTCAGGTATGTTGACTTTTGTTCTCAGGCTTGCCCTACCTCAAACACAGAAAAGGTATGTGCAAAAATGAGCAATTGCTTCAAGGTTTACTAAGATCTAAGTTTGTGCATTTTGTGTGTTTTTGTTACATCCCTATTATTTTAATACGCATACGCTGATGATATTATGTTCCTGACAGAAATGACACGTCATGATTGAGAATGCACCACAGAGTAACTGTAACACACTACAGTACATCTACAAAACTATTTACAACACACATATAGATAATTGTTATCACAGTCTATTGCATAATGGTGATAAGTTTTAGTTTATAAATATTACAAATGTATATATTTATTTACTAAACATTACATAATCTCCATTTCCATCTGAAATTATAATCAGAAAAAAAACAGCTAACCTACTCCTTGCAAACATTTTTCTTTTTCTTTTTCTAAAAAACATTGAAGCAGCAAGTAAATCATGTATTCCCTTTGCACCCATAATGCTGTCAGGTTCTCACTATTTGAGAATGTTAACACAATGAATTGCTAAAAGTCACTGCCCCCCTGCTCCCCCAACAGCGCATTTTACATGTGTCCTTTATGAATTTCCAGTTTTTTTGGTGTTAATGTTTCCATGTTATTCTTTCCACAGTGATGCTATGGCTGCGTTTTTTCCCCTTCCTATCTAGCACCCCCACCCACAAAAAAAGGAAAATCTGAAAGATGATATGACTGCATTCCAGTAACAAAAAATAAACAAGCTAAAATCTTTTTTTTTATTCATATACTTCAGAAAGGAAGACTAGTTATTATTCTAGTTTTAAAGTTAATTAACTCCAAATATTTTAAGTAGATGTACACATATATTTGAATATACATTCTTAAGTTGTAGGGGAATGTGTCTAAAATATAATACAAGGTAAATATGTACAGGATATTTATAGATTTTTTTTTGTTCTGAATAAACTGGAGAAAAAAAATAAAATATTAAAATCCATTCTGTTTTTCTGTTATTTTGTCTCCATAAAAATGAATTAAAACATAATATTAAAAAGGAAAATGGGATCATAAATTTGATGCAAAGCGCATCTTGTCTTGCTCTGTTTCTGTACTACTTAAGACTGTGGACTCTCTTCGAGAACCTGTGGAATCTCTGTGCTGGGCTGTGGAGGGCGTACCGCGAACCGGGGGCAGCGCTCCAGAGGACATCTGCCGAAATAGACTGACTCGCTGTGGGACGGTGTTTCGGATTCCACTCTGCACTCCCGGCCCTTGCACCGTGGACAAAGGTGGGGCTATGGAAGCCAGGGATTCTCCGGATGTGGGGTGTGGCCGGGACAGCGGCGTGGTCTCGTGCGGCAGGGACGGCTGGGAGGCAGAGAGGTGACGGATGTCTCTGCTCAGGCTGCCGGACTGCAGGGCCTGCGTGCTTTTGTGCATGTCGCTTCTCTGCGGAGACGAGACTTGCTGCTGCTGTTGTTGCTGCTGCTGCGGCTGTTGCTGGGGTGTAGACTGGGCTGTTTGCTGTGCCTGTTGTGTTGATGAAGGTGCCATTGGCTGCTGTATTAGGGAGAGCTGGGAGGCAGTAGGTGAGCCGTACTGAAATGTTCGCCCGCCACCAAGTGGCGTCTGCACCGTGGGGCTGGACATGGCTGTGGTAAAGGAACAGGGGGATATAATTGCTCCTTGCTGCTGGAGAGGTGTTTGTAGGTTGGGGGATGTGGAGTTGAGGTTGCCGTGGGATACACTGGAGACGCCGTAGATGGCCTGGCCTGCGGCAGAGAGGACCCGGGGGGGCTGTGCCATGCTTGCAGAGGTCAAAAGGTTAGATTGCTGTAACTGGTTGCTGACCAGGGCAGTGGCGTACGGCTGAGCTGGTGAGTTAATGATGGAGTTTCCAGACGCTGGAGTGGAATTCATCCCAGTGACTGACTGTTTGCGGTCCACCATCATCACCATCTCCCTGTCCTGGCGGATAATTTGTTTCAAGATTTCGTTTTCCTGTGTGTTGAAGACACCAGCATTCAAGTCCTTTTGGAACTTCTGCAGCAGGAGCGAATTCTTCTTCCCTGTTGAGAGGTGAACAAGAGAAATGTCTAAATTCAAAGGCACATAAGCAAACGTACAGTATGAGTTACTGTTTATCTGAAAGAAGTGCAGCTAAAGGACTTGAACCCACAACCTCACGGATCCTTAACCTGCTGAGTTACACGCCATCTGGCGCCATGAATGTGGTTTAAGACATGTTCATATAATAATAATAATAATAATCGCTAATAAATTCCATGCAGATGAAATGATGATATCTACCATCAAACTAATTCATTCAACACTCACTATTAACTCTTTCTTAACTACTTTTTGTTCACACACACACACACACACACACACATACATTTCTATGGGGGGAAAAAACTCTAATCCCAACATGACGATTGGTCTTCCTATCTACTGTAAATGGGGACCGTCCATTCATTTCTATGGGAAAAACCCTAATCCCAAACACGACACCCTTAACTCCTACCCAGCCCTAACCTTAACCATAAGTAACCAACCCAAATACAAGACTTTTGGCATTTTTACTTTTTTGATTGCATTCACAGATCTTTATAAAACTGAGGTTATCCAAATGAGGACCTCAAAAGATGTCCCCAAAAGTAGGGAAATTTCAGGTTTTACTACACTTTGGGGACAATTTGGTCGTCAAATGTGATCTAAGCAAACCCCCCCCCCCCCCCCCCACACACACACGCACGCAATCATTTCTCCTTACTTACCACACACTGTCCAATGCAGTAAAAAGTGAAAAGGAAAACAAATGACCTATGCAAGACTTAAATATCGAATGTGAATGACAGTCATAATCTACTTTTGTACTTTTGTATGTTCTAGTTTACTGCAAAGAACAGACTTTTGAACAAAAATGCTCCCTTTAAAACTATAATGTCAAATTTAATTTCAAGACAATGGAAAGTACACCGTTCTCAGACATCATGAGAGAAACAAATTTTTAAGGTTTATTTAAGTAACTTAAAATGACACCATAAATGGGATACCAGTGTTTTATGTATCGTTATTGACTTGTTTCCATATTTTCCAATAATAAAACAATTGGCCACAACAGAAAACTATATTTCAAAATCAGGTGCATGGTGCTCATCTAATGCTCATTTAAAAATTACTTGCAAAAAATTGTTGATTCTATATTCATTTTTATTTCAATAAAACTACATAATATAAAATGTATTTTTCTTTAAAAATTTGTTTGAGATTTTGGTTCAGTTTGCTATTGAATAAGCCAAGGCATTTATTCCAGTATAAGAATAGAATTGTCTACAATGAATAATATGATAATGAAAATTATTTTAACCAGTTGTGATGTGTTTTATTCACCTATGAAGAAATTACTGGGTGTTAAAAGGAGCAAAATATTCTTAAGCATATAAGGTAATTATTACGATATCCTTTAATAAAACTACTAAATATTCGATTTTTATGTGATACAGCCATTCATATCCTAGCCATATAATCCAAGAAACATTTTTGTTTCTTTTTAGTTTTTTTCTTGCCATCATTAACTATTTTCAAGTAACATTTCGTACTGCAGCAAGGCACATAGCCAGAGAGTAAAACCGTGAGTTTGAATGCCCCTCAAAATTTTCCAGAAATGAATTTGAAGGCGTTTTTGAACTCATTATTTTACTATGTGGATAGCACTTCCCTCTTAAGGGAGTTCAAACTCTGAAGGCCTTAAGGGTGTTTTACTGCTAAGGTCAACAATTATTACCGCAGTACAACAACAATTTTTGTTTCCGCTAATGTTATCTTTTGCGATTGGTGTAAAGAACAAGCTATTAAAACATATTAATAGAAGACTGATCTGAAGTACAGATTATGACAATGAATTAATCACAAAGTCCAAAACATACACATCTACAGTATGTAGTTAGTCACAAAACCAGTCAAACTGAAATGATGGTACTGTCTATCTGCACATGCTATATGGGTTAGGCTGGAAAAAATGAAGCATCAGGGGAATCAGGACATCCTTAAAATAGCATAAAGATCATATCTGAAATGATTATGATTGCTTCTTTGACACAATGAGATTTTTTACTGTATATTGCTTCACGTTGACACATACATGCACACACACTTTCATCATAAAAAAGATTCCTATTTATGAAACTGTATTTTGCGGTTTCCCTGTTTTATACATACACATTTTTCACACCCACACATATATTTTTGTATAACCATTAACTATGTCTATAACTACCTATAGGACTACCTATAAGAACAAATTGGTTCTAGAAGCAGAGAAGTCTGACCTGCAGTCAGTCATTTATTCTATAGCTTCTGCTATAATGGAAGCACATGGAGAGAGTCACAGTTACTAGATCTACTAATAAAGGTAATGAAAATACAGGGCTAGAGACTTACATGTCACTGAACAATACAGGTGCCACATGCTGATTTTCTGTAGTTTGGGAGTACAACATGCATCAAAGGTATTGCAATCACAGAATAAAATAAACCTGTTTGGAGGGAAATCTTAAAAAATTGCAAATAAGCAATTCAATACTCTATACTGTCAATTTTAAAACAGGGTTCTCTTAAAAAAATCACTATGAAGTAAACAGAATGTACATTTTAAATTGAAAATCAAACATATGCACAAAGTTTACTAGTGCTTAACGATCAATAATAAGGAATAATTCAGATTTCAAACTACCGATTATAGTACATTATTGACATAATACAGTATATGTTCTTATGTTTATGTTATAATATTTAGATGAATTCAGCATATCGTACCAAGACTGAAGATTTCTTACTAAAAATGACATGCGTATCATAAATATATATATTTTGATAAGTGCCGTCAGGTTCCATTTTGAAGCTGGCTTGTCGTAAATAAGACGTAAATTAGACGTAAATAAGAGTAAATAAGATGATTATGAAGAGCACACAATGTGAAGCCATCTGCCATTGCTGGATGATAACCTTTCATAAATCTCCCCCAATTTATCAAACATCAATGGAACCAATAATAATAATAAAAAAAATAACCAATGGAAGTCAATGCATTTTTTATTATTATAGGCGATAAAAGAATATTTATGAGATTTTACATTTAATATATTAATTGTTATTTGAAGGTATGGATATTATAAAAAAAGGGCAAACACTGTCCATACTGTTTGTCCTGTACATTGTCGCAAAGGTCTGGAGCCAGAAACAACAGACCCGGGACGGGGAACAACCCGGGACAGGGCACGACCCGGGACAGGGCACGACCCGGGACAGGGAACGACCCGGGACAGGGCACGACCCGGGACAGGGAACGACCCGGGACAGGGCACGACCCGGGACAGGGAACGACCCGGGACAGGGCACGACCCGGGACAGGGCACAGACGCACCATTCTCACCTACGGACTACTGGGCCCCAACTCATGTTTTTAGAATGTGGGGGAGTGGGTGGGACCGGAAAACAGCCCATGGGGAGAACATGCACACTCTGCACACCTAGAGCCAAGGCAAGGAACTGAACCCTGGTCTCTAGGGGCGGGAGATGGCCGTGTTGACCACTGCATCACAATGACATCATGCTGCCCCCCAAGGAAGGCATGCAGGGGGCAGAAAACCAAAAAAATTTATACAGATTTGGATTTTTTATACAGCCCATATAAAAATCATGCATGGTTTGAGTAAAACAAAACTGACACTGACATCTACTGTAGGTATTACATGGGAGAATGTAAAAAATTATATAATTTCACAAATGAACAATTCACCGGCCTCACGATAATTTCATATTCTGATGATGTTAGATGTTACCCTCAGGACATGCATCGCACATCTTTAACAAAATGTATGAAGTACACAAAACGTTGTGGCAAAGTAAATGTCGGCCAGAGCCCTGCCAGCTGTCATTTTGGGGGGGGGAGGTACAGTGTGACGCTCCTGCCATCAGCACTAATTCCGTCTTACAGGGTGGGAGGCAGAGGAGCTAAACGGGGAAGTCAGCAGAATGACGATCAAAGGTTCTGGCCTTTGACACACTTAGGACGCTGTTCAGGGATGTTGCATGGAATCCATTTTATGTAACAATACTATGCTATATATAAAAAATGACATTTCACATACTCTAGGAACATAAGTCTCACTAACTAGCTGCCTGAGAGTCTCCTTCTACATACAGGTATACACAGGGGTAAACCACTGCACATTCACTCTCCCTGCTTTACTTCCGAAGCTTAAAAAAACTGTTTATTCAGAAACATTCCATTACAGATATGTCCAGATCTGAAATATCCCTTATAGATATAACTGCAATTACTTTAAACCAATAACAATGTGTGTAGAATTAACAAAAATTACCTGCAACTTAAAAATTCCACCAAAGGCTCATGTGAATTAAAAAAAAAAAATAGTGACTACTTCAAGAAGAAATCAAAAGATCTTTTATCTTATAATGTTTTCTTTCTTTTTGAAATAGCATAAGAATATTATTAGAATGTACATTATAATCATTGAAGAGAGTGCAACTGAAAAAATAATACTTAGGTTATTTCATTTGATGATTCGAAAAAGGGCTAAAGTACCATTCTTAAAATTAGAAGTTTTGTTCCACATCAGACAGCTTTTCGCGGGGGCGGGGGATTCATTTTCAAGTCCCAGGACGGTTTCTGCACGACTTAAACTTGGTTACACCAGCTTACCTGGTTAAGTAGATTGAATCGTTCTCTATTTGCTGCCGTCTCAGAGGGGAGTGCTGCTTTGTTGCCGATCATTCTGGAATGCTTAAGCATGGATTGTGAAACTTAGAAGCCCTAATCTTTTCAAACAGTAAAAATCCATAATAATTTCGCCCCAGGCTTCTCAAAGAGCAGTAGTTCCATGCAACCGTCCAGATTTGCCTTGCCAAGGAGCTGTGAGTGCAGAGGTGACCTCTACTCCTTAGTACCAAATACTGAATGTGGACTTGTCATACTGATGACCTTTGTGGGATGGGTGACTGTCTCTTTACATTAGCCTGAAACCTTTCTATGGCATACATAGCC